TCTAAGAGACAGGTAGTTTGTTTATTTTGGGTTGTGTATTCAAAGGAAGGTGATAATGTTATAGTTTCTAGTTTGATTTTGAAGATGAGTATCATTTTAAAAATACTGTTGTTTTCAAAGACTATGAATTTTGTGATTTTTCTCTGAATAAATTTTTAATTTTTTTATTGTGGATTTCAAAAACACTGAGCTAATATTCTTATTTCTAAGAGACTTAAAAGTTGTACTTTTGATAAAAAGTGTTTTTCAGTGATATTTACATCAAAATTTAAGTAAAGATTGTGCATTATGTGCAAGCACTTAGCAAGGGAAAAGTACTTCATAAAATTATATTAACCTAAAACATTTTAGATAATTTCCTGTAGTGTTTTATTATTACAATATATAAATACATACAAATTATTTTTAAGTGATTTACTGATTTTTATCTCCTTCATTTTATTAAATTAAACGTTTTATTTTAAGATAATTTATATTTACATGTAGTTGTAAGAACTGATTTAAAGAGATCTGGTGTGACAAACTTTACTCAGTTTCCCCCAATGGTAGTATCTTGCACAACTATATAGTACAATATTACAACCAAGATATTGACACTGATACAATCAAGATTCATAACATTTCCTTCACAAGTATCCTTCATGTTGCTATTTTATAGCTAAAGCCACTTCCTTCCAGGTGCTTAATCTTGCCCCTCTCCCCTCATTTTTAACTCCTGGCAACCACTAATCTTTCTCCATTTCTGTACTTCTGTCATTTCAAAAATGTTATATAAATGGACTTATACAACATATAATCTTCATTGTAGATTATCCATTTTGTCATGATATAATTGCCCTCCCTATTGTAGTAATTTTCTTTTCTGTGAAGTGTACTTTGTCTGATGTTAGTATAGGCCATTCCTTCCTTCCCTTGATTAATATTTGAATGTTACATATTTTTTCCATCTTTTTACTTTGAACCTGCCTGTGTCTTTACATTTGAAGTGAATTTCTTACAGGCATCTTATAGTTGGGTCATGTGTTTTGATCCACTCTGCCAATCTTTGTCTTTTAATTGGTAGATTTATTTGCATTTAATCTAATTGTTGATTTTTAAGGCTTGAGTTTGCCATCTTATTATTTTTTGTGTGTTCGTTGTCTCTGTTCTTCATTTCTCTGTTTTTCTCCTGTCTTCCTCTGGATTATTCTAACATTTTTTAGAATTTTATTTTTATTTATCTATAGTTGTAAATGTATCTCTTTGTATAGTTTTTTAAGTGGTTGCTTCAGGTATTACTTTTATTACCATCTACTGGTGTCCTCATATTACACTTCGAGTGATATAAGTTTTAACCACTTACCTCCCTTTCTTCTATTTTCCCCAGTTTATAAATACAATTTTCTTAACTGTGTCCTCTACATGCACTCACAATCATATCAGTGTTACTGTTATAACTTTTGCTTTAACCATCTAACAATTTAGAAGACTTGGAGGCAAAGGAAAATCAATTCTATATGCCCTTATTTTTTCTTACTATCTTTTTTCTTCCTGATATTTAAAGATTCAATCTTTTATCATTTCCTTTCTGTTAAGAGAACTTCCTATAGCTGCTCTTTTGTGGTAGGTCTGCTGGTGACAAATTTTCATAGTTCTTCATCTGAAAACAACTTGATTTTTTTTTCCCCTTCATTCTTGAAAGATGTATTTGCTGGATATAAGATTCTGTATTGATAGTTCTCTCTTCAGCACTTAAATATGTTGGTCTGCTACTTCCTTTTGGCCTCCATGGTTTTTGTTGAGAAATCTGCTGTTGTGAATTTTCTCCTTTGGGTATAGTGTCATTTCCCTTATGTTACTTTCAAGATTTTTTCTTTGTCTTAGTTTTCAGGAGTTCAACTATGATATGTGTTGTTACAGATTTCTGTGGGCTTTTGTTTTCGTGTTTAGGATTTGCTCAGCTTCCTCAATCTGTAGTTTTATGTCTTTTGCCTAATTTAGGAAGTTCGCAGCCATTATTTCTTTTAGAACTCTTTCAGCCCTGCCATCTTTCTCCTCTTCTTCCATGATTCAGATGATAGGGATATTAGGTCTTTTGTTATAGTTCTACAGTTCCCTGAGGCTCTTTTTTTTTTTTTTTTATTTTTTTTTTTTTTTTTATTTTTTTTTTTTTTTTTATTTTTTTTTTTTTTTTTATTTTTTTTTTTTTTTTTATTTTTTTTTTTTTTTTTAATTTTTATTTTTTTGTTTCTAGTCTGTTTTTTCTTTGTTATTCAGAGTGGGTAATTTCCGTTCTGTGTTCTAGTTTACTGATTGTTCCTTGGTCCTTTCCATTCTACTTTTGATCCCATTAATTACATTTTTAGTTTTGGTTCTTGTATTTTTCAGTTTTAACATTTCTATTTGGTCTTTTTTTATATGTTCTATTTTTTTGTTTAGACTCTAATTCTTTGCTAAGACCTTTTATTTTAAAAATTTTTTACAAGGATATTTCTAATTGTTCATTGAAGCATTTTTGTGATGGCTGCTTTATAGTCCTTATCAGATAACTTTAATATCCCTATTATCTTGGTGTTGGCGTCTACAAGTTATCATTTTCTATCCAGTTTAAAATTTTCCTGTCTCTTGGAATGATGAGTTATTTATTTATTTATTTTTAAAAATTAAAACCTGGACATTTTTTATACTATGAAACTGATCTTCTTTAAACCTTCTTGTTTAGCTGGCTTTTTTTTGACACCACTCCAGCAGAGAAAGGTGGGGGGTAGGGAGGGGTGCTCTCTCATTATTTCCACGTCATGGTAAAGTCCAGATTTCCTACTCAGCCTCAGTTGGCACCTCAGGGGGATGTGCTTGTTGTTACCACAGGTGAGTGCGGGACTTCTTGTTCCCCCCAGTCCTTCTCTGATAGATCTTTGGCTGGGAGAAATAGAAGTGCCTCATTACCGATACACATGGGTCCTCCCCTCCAATAACACCACAGTGGAGGTGGTGGTAGTTGTGGTGCAGTAAGTTCTGCCTGTCCACTGGGCAGCCCCTAATACCATCATAGTGGGGAGGGATAAGGTCACCTTGTTACTTACTCATGGGTGGGCTTGGAAGTCCAAGCTCTCTGCGTGGTCTCCACTGACACTGTAAGGATGCTTTGTTACCTTCTGATGGGGATGAAAATCTCGATTCCATCTCAGCCTTTTCTGATACTACCCCAGTGGGGTGGTTGGGGCATCTCATTATAGCCTAGTGAGGATGGAAGTCTTGGATCCCCATCTCAGCCTTTACTGGAGGGGATTGGGGCTGGGGCCATAGATTTTTCTCTGGTTTGGCTGCACTAGAGTAGTTATTTCTAAAAGTTTTCTGTCTTGCTAGGCTGCTTCTTTCTTGGTCTGTTGGCTAGAGAGAGCAGGTTTTTGGGGGATATGTTTTATCTGGGCTTGTTGCCAGCTTCTCCAGTACCCATTCATGGACATGTGGTAAAAAAGAAAACCTTTAGAACTCACCTTTGTGTCATTCTTTGGGTCCTGAGGTCCTATACAGTCTTCCCTTTTTGCCTTTCAGAGTCTTCTTAGGTTTATTTTATATATAGCGTCCTGTATGTCTAGTTGTACTTAGTGAGAGGAATAGGGAAAAGTATATCCACTCCATCTTCTCAGAAGCAGAAAGATATTCTTCAGATATATTTCAGATAACAGAAATTACCTCTAAACAGTAGCTGAATTAGATGTACATGGATATTGTGTTGGTATGCTTTTTGTTTGTTTATTTGGGGGACTAAATGCCTATGGGTATATTTTATTGGCAGAGATAATAAAAAATTCAAAACAAAAACCTAGAACCAGTTGCTGTGGATGTACATAAATCTCAAACTGAAATTTTTTCTTGATAACTCAGAGACCTCCTCAACCACTAGTTTTTACCTGTCAAGCTTTATTATGATTTCTTTTATGTTAAAATGCAAACAATGTTCTTCTTTCTTCTGACCCTTTGACTTGTTACAGAGTGACTGACAACGTATAGAAATAGTTTTTATTTTTTAAGTTTTGTTATGTTATAGGCATTGTTGGAATCTAATGATCAAGTCAAGTGTTCCCTTTGAGCAACCATGGGTATTTCTATGGGGATTTAATGTTCAAAGATTTACTATGTAATGTAATAGAAGCATTTTCTATACCATAATTATGATGTTATAAAATATGAGAAAAATCAAGGACTTTTCTTCCATTTAAATTATATAATAATTTTATTTTTACTTTCTTTTTCTTTTCTTTTCTTTTTTTTTTTTTTTTTTGTCTTTTTTTGTGTCTGGCAACGGATCGCAACCCTCAGTGTCACGCCCACACCGGACCAGGACTGGCAATGGGATCGCAACCCTCAGTGTCGCACCCGCACCTCGCTCAGCCAGTGAGCGGGAACCAGTCTGTATGTGGGATCCAAACCCTCGGCGGGAGCGCGCCGCCGCACTCCCAAGCGGTGCACTGTAGCAGTGCGCCACCGGGCCGGCCCCTTTCTTTTTCTTTTTCTTTTTTAAATTTTATTTATTTATTATTATTTTTTTCCTTTTTGTCTTTTTTCGTGTCCGGCAACGGATCGCAACCCTCAGTGTCGCGCCCGTACCGGACCGGGACCGGCAACGGGATCGCAACCCTCGGTGTTGCGCCCGCACCTCGCTCAGCCAGTGAGCGGGAACCGGTCTGTATGTGGGATCCGAACCCTTGGTGGGAGCGCCGCCACACTCCCAAGCGGCGCACTGTAGCAGTGCGCCACTGGGCCGGCCCTTCTTTTTATATTTTTTTGGCAGCTGGTGGTACAGGGATCAAACCTTGGACCTTGGTGTTATTAGCACCATGCTCTAACCAACTGAGCTAACTGGCGAGCCCTGTGTAATATTTTTAAATTGCCCCAACAGTAATACTCTACAGTAAAATGTTATTATAGACGTTTAAAAAAAAGTTTTCTATGACTATGTGATATTTGAGCTGTTTAAGTGCTGAACTAATCTTGGGATTCTGTTTCTTTCCTTGCAGGATGATGGTCTAGAAGACAATGAAAAGAATTTCTATGAATCTGATGATGAACAGAAGGAAAAGACTGACCAAAAGAAGAAGCCATATACTATGGATCCAGACCATAGACTCTTAATTAGAAACACAAAGCCTTTGCTACAGAGCAGGAATGCAGCGGTAAGTTAAAACCCTTGTAAGAAATAATTCACAGATTTTTTAAAAATAGTAATTAAAAGTATATAAGTTCAGTAAACAAGTCTGAGTGTGCTAATGGAGAATTTGTTTACACACCAAACACAAGTAAGGGATAGTTAGATATACAGTGTGGAATATAACCAATAGATTTAGAGACCTAATTTCTGGGAAGTAATGCCTAAATATATTTCAACCTTCAATGTTTCCAGGTATGCAAAATTAAGTTTTGATAAGAGCACCTGCTTGGGTAGTTGTTGGCCTAATGAACTTCATTTACTTTTTTGTGATTTTATTTATTGGATTTTTTTAAGGTATGAGCTCAAGTTATTTCTCAATTGGATATGTTGGCCCTTTTACAAGGACTACATATATTAGTTACTCCGTCATGGTTGACGGTACTTGATCTGGTGCTAGTCCATAATGTTTGTATCTACCTGATAGAATTTTCAAGAGCCTAAGCTGTAATAAAAGTAATACCTCACAGCATACTAACCTTAAATTGGTAGTGATAGTAATCTAAATAAAAATCATCTCTGTGGGCCGGCCCCGTTGCTCACTCAGGAGAGTGCAGCGCTGGTAGTGCCGAGGCTGCGGGTTCGGATCCTATATGGGGATGGCTGGTGTGCTCACTGGCTGAGCATGGTGCGGACCACACTGTGCCGAGGGTTGCGATCCCCTTACTGGTCACAAAAACAAAACAAAACGAAACAATAGTCGTCTTTGTGGGGTCTTAATTTTTTGGTTTGACTTCTTTCTATTTTAAATAACCCTTTATATTTTAGGAGTATGCATGTGCACAATAGAATAATAAAACTAAACTAAAAAAAATTTTAAAACATCACATTCTCATCTCATAGAAATCAGTTGTAATATATTAGTGCATTTTTTCCAGCTCTTTTTCGTCTGCATAAATATATATATTCACGTGTAAATATACATACGTATTTTTTTAACCAAGATAAAAATTACACCGTACATGGTATTTTTTAACCTTCTTTTTTTCTAGTCAGTCATCTCCACCTTTCTATTTTAATAAAATTTTACCATTTAATACCAGTTGATCTTATATTATCCTTTTTAGGTAGTTTATCCAAACCATTATCTAATGCATTGCATCTGGTTGTTATATCTTTTAAAGGCTCTCAAGTCTTGCAGAATGTCCTTCTAGGTTTGTTTGGTTACTTCTTTTGTAGTGTCATTTAATATATTTTTTTATACCCTGTGTTTTTTGTTAACTGGAAGTTATATCTAAGTGCTTGATGAATTCAAATTAAACATTTTCTTAATTAAGAAAGTATTCTTAATGAATTGTTCTCTTAATTAGTAAAACCTTTAAATGTGAGGAACTTCACTTGAATTAAAGTTTTCTGATTCTTGAGAATTTAGAGCTTAGAACTTTGTGTATCTTAGTAATTAGCAAACATTTTCATCTTCCACCTAGTCATTTAGTTTCTAAATCATTATTTAGTAACCGTGCTCAGTCATAACAAAAATATTATTTCCTTTTTGTCTTTTTTCGTGTCCGGCAACGGATCGCAACCCTCAGTGTCGCGCCCGTACCGGACCAGGACCGGCAATGGGATCGCAAACCTCGGTGCTGCGCCCGCACCTCGCTCAGCCAGTGAGCGGGAACCAGTCTGTATGCGGGATCCGAACCCTCGGCGGGAGCGCCACCACGCTCCCAAGCGGCGCACTGTAGCAGTGCGCCACCGGGCCGGCCCCCCAAAATATTATTTCACCGATGTTTTAAAATATGCTTATATTGTAGTGTGCCCTAGATTTTCCACATGCTGGTTAGGTAGCTGTAATTTGCCATCTAAAAATTTTACTTTGTGATTGACTTACTATTAATTTAACTTTGTCTTGGAAATTGATTTTATAAATCACATACTTACTGTTCAAAAATGTTCTCAAATGGAGAAACAAATAGAGGTAGTTTACTTTTTGTTCCATTATATTTTGGTGCTGCTAAATACAAGTAAAGACTCAGTCATTACTGTGCAGATTGGGTTGGAAATAGATACTAGAAGCAGAATGTTAGAAGGCTATTCTAACAGTCTAAATATGTTGATAATGCCATGAAGGTTAAGAATAGAAAAGTTTATGTAGGATATACTTTATTATGTACATGCATAATATAACTGTAGAAGGCCTATGAGGTTATGTATTTTCAGTCTTTTTGGATTTTGGAGTTTTGGGAGTTTCCCTCATGGCTTTTACAAATTAACCTATGCATTTTAAATTCTGGATATTGAAGAAACTTTAAACTGTTGGATTTGTAAATATTGAGGAAAAAGAAGATGAATTAGTCCTTTTGGATTTTGGATTACCCTGACTAATATATTAAAACAGATGATATACCAAGTGGAAGCTAGAATCTTAAAAACATTGACATTTAGTTGGCCTTTTGTATCCGTGGAGGGGTCTTGGAACCTTTGTACACCGAGGGACCACAGTATATATGGAAAGTACAGTTTATGTATTGTACTTATTATTTGTAATGGAAAAGGATTTAATTTATTATCTGTAAAATATGTTAAAATTGTTTCAACTTTTTTTTCTATCTTATACTAAAAGTTAGCCTATATGTTTTAATATATTTAAAAGTGACATTCACTTTGTAGATTATGTCGGTCATTGAGATTCTCTTATTTTCTCAGATTTCTAATTCAGGAGAGTTTATTCGGTAATTAAAGTGTATTTGTAGATCACAAGTGAAGAAATGAAATATTCTTATGTTCTTGCAATTCTCAATTTATGTTTGAAAGCTATAAATCAGTTTTGTAAAAGAGTACAACATATGCCAAACAGTAAATTTAGGACCCTGTAAACTGTATTTTTAAAAAATGTTTTTTAGTTTCAGAAGAAACTCTTCTTACCTCAAGCATCCTCATGTGTTGTAATCTATTTAGGCCCACATAAAATTCCTGCTGTCTGTTTGTTAGAACTATATTGACCAAGCAGAAATAAAGTAGTATTAATATATCTTCTGAGTCAAAGACAAGATTGTGTAACTTCTGTAGCTTTGTCTCTGCAATTGTTACATGTTAAACTGGAGTGAATGGGAAATCTGTACTTTTGATTTCTGAATCTAAGTGTAGAGGCAAGTAGGGGAAACACAGTACTCTTATATTCTGAGACAAAGAAATTCTAATCATCCTTAAAATGGCTTCAAACCAAAGACTATTTTTTAAGGTTCTTTGTTTTGAAAAAACAAAATGATTTCAAATGCTGCTGCTTTAGGTATGTTGTTTTAATGAAGTTCCTTTCATTAGAACTTAAATGTACTGATTTTTCTTTATTTCATCCTACTTGTCACTGTTATCCTGAAGTGTCTGGCTTCATTTAGAAAGGCATGCTTACAATTCTTAAAAAATTCCCACTCTTAGAGCAGCAGCAGCAGTACTAGGAGGAACATGGAGTTTGGAGTGTCATGTTGGACTTTGCCACGTACTGGCTGTTAAACTTTGAGCAGTTCATTTAACATCTATGCTGTACAAATTACTACAAACTGGGTGGATTAAAACAACAGAAATTTATTCTGTCACATTTCAGGAAGCCAGAAGTCCGAAATCAAGGTGTAAACAAGGTTGGTTCCTGCTAGAGGCTCTAAGGGAGAAACTGCCCCTTTCCTAGCTTCTGTTGGTTGCCAACAGTCCTTGGCATTTCTTGGCTTGCAGAGGCATCACTCCAATCTCTGCCTCCACGTTAACAATGCCTTCTCTGTGTCTCTTTGTGTCCTTTTCTGTCTCCTATAGGACACTCATTGGTTTTCGGGTCCATTCTTATCCAGAATGATCACATCTTGGTCATTATGTTAATAACTCTGCAAAGACCTTACTTCCAAATAAGATCACATTCTGAGGATAGATACGAATTTTTGGAGGGACTCTTCTTCATCTCACTACAAGGAGTTATATATTTCATTTTACTTCACAGAAATTTTGTAGGAGTTTAAAGGAAATAACGTGTAAGAATGTATTTTGAAACCGTAGAGTGCTCCAGTGTTTATAGTTCCTGTTACTTTCATACTTTATCTTTAGGTGGTTATGGCAGTTGCTCAGCTGTATTGGCACATATCACCAAAATCTGAAGCTGGCATTATTTCTAAATCACTAGTGCGTTTACTTCGTAGCAATAGGTAGGTCATGATTTTATGTATGTTTTTTCTTTTGTATTCTTTGAAAAGTAATGTTTGAACAAATATAACCTGTCTTTCAGGCATTTAATATGTAGTTCTGACTATATTTTATCAATAAAACTTCATACTAGACAGGATCATCATAAAAGCCTTTATAAAATTTATCTCAATTGTAATGATAAATATTGGAATTTTTAAAAATCTGAAGCCCAAAGAGATTGAAAATATTTTGTGGCATATAGCATATGCTATCACATATTAGGTAGCTTAATATTAGTGCTTGATATGTCTAGGTATGACAGTAATGATGTTTGGGAGATTTAGTAAATACGGAATCGCAGAACAACTATATTGAAGTACTATCAGATTGAAGTTTTCAATGTATTGTACTGTATATGGTTTTATGTAGAGCAGTTATGTAGGTTATGACAGAATTACTGCTTCCTGTAAAATTGGAATATTTAATTACTGAGTTTGCTCTATGTTAAAAAGAGAGCTATATTTTTAATAGCTACTCATTTTAAAGAATCGTACACTCTTTTAGTTTTCTGTAGATGGAGCGAGCATGCCACCTTTTTCTTTAATTTTATTTCCTTATAATTCAGCAGTTCAGGTCAACAATTCAAACCACTTTTATTGAGTTCCCATGGCCTATAATTTCAAGTTGAAGATCAGATTTTTGTTGATTGTTTTGTTTTCTGTGTTTGAGAATACCTTTGTTTCAGCTATTTAGACTACCCTGGATATTTTGTAATAATTAGTTGTTTTAAATTAAAATTTTTTTTTCATTGAGTGTTCTCTTCCACTAACTGGGTTGGGAAAAAAAGATGTCTATTTATTTTTATCCTTTTAACTAGAACTTAGTCCACAATTTTAGCCCTTGACTGGCTTTTACCATTTTTTAGTAACAAATAGATGGCATTTCCTTTGTGTTCCTGTTCCTCCCTGTATGTATACCTAACTGTTCTTTTCTCTTTTATCAGTTCAGCTTTTTTTTTTTTTTTCTATAGCTAGTTCAACGAATATCAGAAAGATCTGGAATGGGTCTTTCACGTAAGACCTTATACTAGATTCAGTTCATTTATTAGATATTTGGACATAAAAATACCATGACTGCTTTTTTTAACTTGGCCTTCATTCTGTGCAGAACTGAGTGACAAAATGGGCCTTCTAGTTAGAGTTTGTAATAAAACTATGGTCATGTTTACACCATTAACCCTAGGAATACTTTCCTTGAATGTCTTCAAAGCAGTTACAGATTGGCTTTTCATTTTAGAAGTACAGTATTATAAAATTGGTTTTAACTCTTCCTCTTAGTAAATCACATCTAATTTATTAGTGCTTTATAAAAAAATGCATTTAAAAAGAAGGCATAAATATCTAAGATTTACTAAAAACTTTTCAATATTACATTTAAGAATTCTGCTCACTGTGAAACTTATTGCTGATTCTTTTTCATTATTGTACTATTTACTTAAAGATGTTTTATTGGAAAATAAACTCTGAAAATTCTCTTTTAATTTTTAGGGAAGTGCAGTATATTGTCCTACAAAATATAGCAACTATGTCAATTCAGAGAAAGGTATGTACGTTGTAAACACAGAATTTAAGAGGCACATGAACATATTAGTATCATAAATGCAATTATATATTTATTTTTTGTTTCTAGGGCCTGTTTGAACCTTATCTGAAGAGTTTTTACGTTAGATCAACTGATCCAACTATGATCAAGACACTGAAGGTATATATGCTTTCATTTTTCAGATACTCTAACACACGTTTACTTTGCAGAGATATTGCTATAGCTTCTGGCATCTGAGAAATGGAGTCCTGCTCTTCAAGAAACAGATACATTTAAGGATTTTTCTTTATACTTTCCAATCTATGTTATTTTATATTAGTTACTTCTGATAATATAAAGTTAAGACATGCTACCTACACCTTGAATAACTTCTAGCATACTGAGGGAGACAGGGATAAAAATAGATAATTTTAGTACTGTGTTTTTTAAGTGATATAGAGATTTAAATTGAGTGCTGTGAAAAACAGAAAGGTGGGGTTAATAGTCTCTGGGAGATTTGGAAAAGGTGATGTTTGGGTGGATCTTAAAAGAATGACATTTTTGTGATTTTTTTTTGTTGTTGGTTGGTAGGTTGATTGGGAGGTTGAAGGGTTGGGAGTAGGCAAAAAGCACAGTTTATGCTAACACAAGGGATTAAGAAAGAGTGTTATTTTCAAGGAAATAACTATGGTATACAGTGCAGTGAGGAATATGAAGTTATAATGGTTAAAAACAGTGTGATATTTAGACAGAGAAGTAAGCAGGATAGAATAGAAAGCCTAGAAAACACCCACAGCATGTGAATATTTACTGTGTAATTGAAGAGACATTACAAACCAATGGGGAAAGGATGGACTGTTAGTAAATATTGGAATGACATGTTATTCAGATGGAAACCAAATTTAGTCATAAAAAAACTAAGACACATCCAAATTGAAGGATATTTTACAGAAAATTGGATTGTAGTCATCAGTAGTGTCAAGGCTATAAAAGTCAAAAGGAAGACTGATAAACTCTTTCAGACTGAAGGAGACAACTAAATACAATATGTGATATTGAACTGCACCCTTTATTCTACATTACTGAGACAATTAGTGAAACTTAAATGAGCAATGATTGAGTGGAAATAATGTATTCATGTTAATTTCCTGATTTTCTTGGTTGTATTGTGGTAGGTAGGACATGTCTTTGTTTATTGGAAATATACATGAGTAATCGGGCAGACTGGCAACTGTAGTCTCAAATGTTTCAGAGATAAATCATTTCTTTCTTTGTACTATACATGTAACTTTTCTGTATGTTTGAGATTGTTTTAGAAAGGATGTTTTCAAAAAGTTAAAATATTCTCATCAAAATAAAACAAAAAGTCAAGCCATACATAATCTGGGAGAAAATATTCTCCATACATAATATCTGAACAAATGGCTTGTACCCAGAGTATATAAAGAACAACAACTACGATCTGTGCCTCTTAATTGGAGTGTTTGGGCCATATACTTTTAATGTAATTATTGATATGAATGTATATGTATATACATCTTGTGCTTTGTTTTCTATTTCTCTCATCTGTTCTCTGTTCCTTTTTACTTTTTCATGCCTTCCTTTGGCTTAATTAAAATTTTTTTATAAGTAAAAACAAGTATTTTTAGCAAGTGTATTGGAGATGGATTTTTTTTTTGTCTTTTTTCATGTCCGGCAACGGACTGCAACCCTCAGTGTCGCGCCCGTACCGGACTGGGACCGGCAACGGGATCGCAACCCTTGGTGCTGCGCCCGCCCCTCGCTCAGCCAGTGAGTGGGAACCGGTCTGTATGTGGGATCCGAACCCTCGGCGGGAGCGCCACCACACTCCCAAGTGGTGCACTGTAGCAGTGCGCCACCGGGCCGGCCCCTGGAGATGGATTTTTAATTGCACATTTCTTATATCTAGAAACCCAGAAGAGGGAATAAAAATGTCTAAGAGTTTGGGATGATAGCATATCAGAGAACAAATCAAGAAAGTTAATTGGTGTCTGAAAAACAGAGGTATTATATGGAGGGCAAATAGTTTTTTATCTTTATTAATAAAAGGCAAAAGTCAAAGTAGCCTAAATTGTTTATGTTAATTAGATATAAATTGTAAAGTTGGGACAAATATCTGATGAAGATATAGGATTCTTCTTTACCTAATTATTTTTTTGTAGACATAAGGAGACAGACTAAGTTTACCTGAAGGGTATAATGTCTCATCACATTTTGTGAAAGTGATTAAAAAATATAAATTAACTTTTAATTTATTGCCTGGCCTCTATTAAATTTATCTTTTTATTTTTGTGTTAAAATGTTTACTTTCTCTCTTTTTTTCTACTAAAGCTTGAAATTTTGACAAACTTGGCAAATGAAGCCAATATATCAACGCTTCTTCGAGAATTTCAGGTTTGTGTACAATGCTAATTATAAAATAACTTATAAAACATATATTCAATCTTAAGTTAAATATGTATCATTTTCAATCTAGAAATATGTAATTGTGTGACTAAAACAGTGATTGGGACAAAATTGACAACTAAGAAATATATAAATTTTTTGAGAATAAACATTAAGTACAATTTATAATTTAAGGGAAATGGAATAATATTCTCTTTTATGTTTTCATAGAATTTGAGAGACTGGTTTATAACTTTGTCTTTGTTTGAAATTTTGTTTCTGTCAGGGATTTATCTCTTCATGCTGTCTTTATCAATAGTCCTTGCTATGCTCTGCACTCATGAAAATGGCTTAACTTCTTACCTAGTTGTCCCTGTTTGATTGACCTAACACTGTTTTAGACTCTGCCCCCTTAGCCTCATGTTTAGCTCAAAAAATTTGGTATGTAATTAACCCCACCATGATTTTTTGTCAATTGTTGTTTTTATTTTGATTTATTTTGATGTATTTTAAAAACATATATTCTCTTGGATAAGATGCTTCCCAGCTGCATTTCCCCAAAAATGTTATTTAAAAACTACTTCATGAACATTATGCCCTTTATGATGGAAGAATCAGCTCTGCAGCCTTAGCAGTGGAATACAGAAGTAGAAAACCTCCTGTCAGTATTGTGAGTTTTATATCCCATCAGCAGTTTTCATAACAAAAGTATACCACATGCTACACACTAATCATGCAGTTTTTCTCAACCCCCAGCTTTTATAGACTTAATATATTTTGTTGATGTAATCCTCTTATAAGTCAATATTAATTTGTTTTAGCTATATGTAGACACTACATTTCTTTTTAGCTATGTGGTTTTATACTTTTTTCGGGAGTGGAATGTTAGGGCATACCCATGATTTATATTTTCATAACTGAATCACTCTACTTTCATGCTAAGTATATTTCTAAATATACTTAGATTGTATAAGAAAAATTCCTTATACAATTAGATGTCTCAGAGACCCACGCATATTTATATGCCAGAAAATGTAGTGTCTCAAGTTTTTATCCAGTAATCTTATATCTATAGACGGTTGCTTGAATTTGATTTTTACTTCATTCTTATAATTTTGTTTATTTCTTTTTAAGTTCTGGTCTTTGTGTTTGCTCTTGTCTCTTTCCTTCTTGTCCTGTGTAATCTCTATGTGTGTCCTTTAGCTGTTTATTTTCTGCTTATGTCAAGTCTACTGGGATTGTAGGAAAGGAATCTTAGATAATCCTACAGAATTGTTTAGTGGTATAGCAGTTGCATACTGGATCTGTTTCAGAATGTTGATGATCCAGTCATTTCATTTAATATGGGGATGTTTAGTAACATCCATTTTTTAGTTAAACTTTTAAATATGTTCTTTCTTTTCATATTCATTTTTATCACTGTCTACATTTGTACCTTATTTCTGTTTACTTGTTATGTACAGTTTGCTTTTAATAATTTTTTGAGTCAAATAGAGAATTTTTTAAGACTCATAAATGTATTTTTTTAATTGAGAAAATTAGGTAATCTATTTGGGAAAAGGTTTAAATATAATCGGTCTTGCCTTCATGGAACTAAGAGAGTTTAATTTATTTAATTTATTTTTCAACCTTTAATCACCTTTTTGGTTCCCTTTTGTATTTGTGTATTTTGTATACAAATGTGTATACTTTTTAGATATGCTTAGATTTTCTTCCCCATCTGTCGTTTAGATACTATTTAAGTACATACCTTATTTTGCGTTTTACATAACCACAGTGTTAATTCCACATTGTGTAGTTCTCATTTGAGGTTGGGAATCTTTTTAAAAATTTTCAGTTGAAAATGAAATTTTACATCCCATTTATATATAATATACAAAATATAAATATGCATATTGAAAGTACATTCATTTCTATTAAACGATGAAAGTTTAGTTTTTAAATTAGGAAAGTTTTAATCAAAGTGAAATTCTCTAGGGCTGTTGTAAATTTTGTAAAGATCTTTTAAGTTCCAGTTGTTAAATCAATGATTTATATCTTTAGTTTTGAGTTTGTATAAATATATCATTTATAGTATATTTTAAAAGCCAGCTTTATTTCAGAAATATGGTATTTTATTTTATTGTAAACTGAGTATTAATAGTCTTTATTGAAATACTGCTCACTGTTGCTATTGTAATTTTATAACCATTCTGATTCCATTTTCAAAGTAAAATGTCTATAAATAGCATATTGGTCCTTTTCTTCCTTTTCTCCCAATTTTTATATTTGGTTTTTGAAAAAGCGACCCTTTTTTCATAGATTCACAGATGTTCCTGGTTAAATGAACTGAAACCTCCAAAGAGAGAGTTCTCATCATCTCTGTCAAGCCTGCACTTAAACTAATTGCTGTCTTTGGGTGACTGCACCCCTCTATTTGTTTTGGAGTCTCAAGCCACTGTGGCCACAGGTGAATGAGCCTGGCTTGAAAATGTATAGGCACATTCTTTAAGTAAAAAAGCAAAATTAAATTAATTAAAGACATTAGTTGGGCCTTCTGTTGTGCTTAGGAGAAGCTTATATATATATTCTGGAATTCTTATATATTGACAAAGCTTAATATAATAGGGTTTTTGGCTCACTTGATAGTATCAATGGATAAACTAATTGAAATAATGTTTTTTAGACGTATGTTAAAAGCCAAGATAAACAATTTGCAGCAGCCACTATTCAGACTATAGGCAGATGTGCAACCAACATCTCAGAAGTCACTGACACATGCCTCAATGGCCTAGTCTGTTTGCTGTCCAACAGGGATGGTAAGTTCACACTTTTATTTTATTTTCAGGTAATTTATAATTTGAATATTCCTGGCATAATCTACATGTTGTAACCTTTTTAAACTTTGCATTTTAGTGTTTCCTGTATGTCACTAGTATGGTCACAATAAGTAGCATTTTATCCTTGAAATGCACATAAATGCACAACATTCCGTTTTTTTCTTTTTTTTTTTAAGTGAATTAGATAATTAACCAGCAAACAGTATTTGTCTTTCCTCAACAGAACTAAGAAAGTTTAATTTGTTTATTTTACTTTTTTATAATTTAATCACCTTTGTTGTACCCTGTCCACATAGGTTTTATTTTATTGCTTTTTAATGGCATGTAAGTCATGCATAATATTGGTTCACCTGCAGAGGGTGCTAAGTGCAGGCAAATGACTTTATAACATGGTGAAGTAGCTAGATCAAAAAATATGTTAACTGTGTAACCCTCAATGTTTTTTCCCAGAAATTCAACTAGTAATTTTATATTCAAGATTAACTAGATTTAAAAGCCATCAATTTGGAATAGCTCATGTTTTTAAGCCAAACAATATCTAAATGTTTTGTAAAACTGGATAGGTAATATCCAGTAAAATATGTAGTCTAAATTTCATACTGTTCTGTGGAAAAATGTCAGTTATTTATATGGGCATGCTTTAGAATAAATGAAGACCTTTAGAGGAAGAAAGAAAAATGAGTTAACATTTGCTTTTAAAATAATCTATTAAGAGGACTTTGATTATGATTGTGTATTTCATTAAAATGATATTCTTTTTAGGGAAAGCATAATTTTCTGTTAAAATCATTGAAATTATTTGTGGAATTTTAAATCATTATGTCATGTCTAGATACAGGCATATATGACAGCAGCCATGAGGTGAAACATAAAGTTGATTGTTATTTATATTTTATTTGAAAAATAACTTTTCACTGCAGTAATTCTATATCCCTAATTATCTTTTCCCACATGTAGATATCTTTAGAAAACTGTAACATCATTGTAAGTGCTTTTGACGAAAAAATTGAAATAAAATTTTTTGCTAAATAACACAGATTGTTGTTGTGAACATAAAATTATAAACTTGCTCCTATAAACTCAAGATATTCTGATAGATAGAACATACTTCTACATGTAGTTTTTTGTTGTTGTTTTTTGCAACTGGCTGGTAGGGGGATCTGAACTCTTGACCTTGGTGTTAACAATACCACACTCTAACCAACCGGACTAACAGGCCAGCCATACATAGAGTATTAAAACTTCAAATAAGTGTCAACAAAAATTATCAAGGAGATAGATTAAAAAAAAAATTTTTTTTTTTGTCTGTACAAGTTACTAGGGAAGATAGGATGATAAATGTCATCCATTTTATCTATTTCTACTTTTAACAATAATATCTTGTTTGTGTTTCTATGTCACAGTTTAAAATGTGACTTTAAAAATATGTTTTTTACTTTCTTCTGTCTTCTATAATAACTTTCCATTTGACCAATAAAATACACTGTTTGAGAAAATAATTCAAGAACATTAAAGATTATGATTCGAAGTTTACCAGGGTAATTGTTCTTTTAAAATATAGTTTCATACAGCAAGCACCAGCAATTAGAACACCAATTAGTTCTTTCAAATACAAGTATATTCAAGTTTTCTCAATTTTAATTTTTAACTCTCTTCTCGTGTGAAATTTTCAAGCTATGGATTTTAAAGCAACCATTTTTGCTTCAGCTTTGTAACACATTAATTTCTCAAAAAATTTTTTATTGACTTTGATTTAAAAGATAAATATTCTACCCCTGTAGCACATTTAAGGGAAAAATAGATTGTTTTATAATTAGGTAGTGAGAAACTATTATGAGAGTACTTCAGAAGGTTTGTGGGAAAATGTAATTAAAGGATTATGCAAATCTTTCCATGAACTTTTTGAAGACCCCTCATATATTCTATAATCACTTTCAGAAGGTACGAGGATTTACTAATTTAAACTCTGGTATTTTAATGTTTAGGCTTTTGTTTCTGGTAAATGAAAACTTTATAGCCATGGGATTTTTTGTGTGTTTTGGATATTACCAAACTTGAATTGTGTTGTCTAGGTTCTGGCTGCATAATCATCATTAGCCCATAATAGCTGATTAGTTGTCTCTGTCATATGTGCTACACTTTTTTCTGTAGTTTGGAAATTTGGCTCCATAAAAAGTAAAACAGATAAGGAGAATACTTATATTAAAGTTAGTAATATTAAAGAAAGTAATAGTGTTTTTAATTTTAAAATGGCCAATCCTGACAACAGAGCCCCTTCCACTTCCCGTTAAAAGATCTACGTTTGGCCCTCCATATCCATGGGTTCCACACACGTGGATTCAGGGATCCATGCAGATTGAAAATATTACAAAAAAATTGCATCTGTACTGAATATATGACTTTTTTCTTGTTATTATTCCCAAAATAATACAGCACAACAACTATTTACAGAGCATTTACATTGCATTAAGTATTATAAGTAATCTAGGGACAATTTAAAGTATATAGGAGAATTTCCTCAGGTTATATGCAAATACTATGCCATTTTATATCAGAGACTCAGGCATCTGAGGATTTTGGTATCCATGGGAGATCCTGGAACCAATCCCCCACAGGTCCTGAGGGACTACTGTACTTTTAGGAATAAATACTATGAATGAAGCCTCAGTTTTTTAAAATCCATAAGGTCTTTTGTGGCTTTTATGATTCTTTGATTTTATGGTGAAATGAATACCTCATCATCTCTTCAGATGATGTATCTTTAAGTCTCAGGACAGCATTCAGACTCCATTTGTTTTTTTAACATATTTTTAATATATTCCTCTTGGACCTGTAGTTCTTTTTTTCTCCTTGGCTTTTTGCATTATTGTTGTTGACTTTTCCCTTTATAGTATTGGCAGGGCCTTTTTAAACAGACTTGAAGCTTGTCCTAAAATAGTTCATTGTCACTCTCTAAGGTTAATTTGATAAACAAATTTCTTACAGCCCTTTAGAAGAAGAAATCCCTGTTTCAGTTCAACTTAATTGCCTAAAGTAATTTATTTTAGGTAACATGTTAGCAAAATTTGCTTGTCTAAATAAACTTACTGCCATCTATTATAAACTAAAAGGAAGGCTTTTAAATTTTATTTTGTTATAATTTATTAAGCGTTTACTGAGGACTTCAGTCAGCTGAGGCATTTAATAAATGTTGAATCAATTAATAAAATATTTATTTAGCTTATAAGAGGTTCCTGCTTTTATGGAGCTCACAGTCTAATAGAGAGAGACAAATGGAGACAATCCTGCTCATAATCGTACTCTTTCTGGCTCTGAAGTTCATGCTATTTCTACAGTAACACCTTTCCTACTGTTGCCAATCCTTACTATTCACTTTTTGGACATATCAGTTAAGGAAACTTTTTTTAGTTTGCTGTTTTCTATAGAATAGAGAAAATGTTGTTTAGATCATAGGTATTTGATTACCACTACTATGTAATCAGTAGAAATCAAAGAACAATATTTGAGAACTCTAGTTTAAAGCCAGAGACACTGTACAATATGGTGAGCAGCATAATCTAACCTCATTTGCCTTCATGACCTAAAGAAGCAGAAATTAGAGAGGAATGACAGAAGCTAGAAGACAGCAAACAGAGGTTAGAGATTAAAGTTAACTTTTCTACTTAAGACAGATGTTCACACCCCAAATTTGGAAGTACACTCATGGTTATAGTTTCCACCTAGTCTGTTAAAGCAGGTAGAATGTTTGCTAATTTATGTTTACATTTTACTGAGCATATGGTATTTGAATGAATTACACATATTTAACATGAATAATCTGTCTTTTTCAGAAATAGTAGTTGCTGAAAGTGTGGTTGTTATAAAGAAGTTACTGCAAATGCAACCTGTACAACATGGCGAAATTATTAAACATATGGCCAAACTCTTGGACAGTATCACTGTGAGTATCAATTAAGAGATGTTTGCTGAGTTATACTGAATTTTATAATTTTTAAAAAATTATAGTTTTAAAAAAATAAGTAGTCATCCTAAAGGTTGTAATGGTTAAGAGAGCTGAACTGTCTAGATTCAAATTCTGATTCTAAGATTTCATATTGTTGTAGGAGGGAATTACAAATCTGAAAAGGTGGAAGGATAGAATGAACCCTGCAGTGCTGGATTGGAATTGGAGATAGCAGTGTGAGCTTCATAGGTTTTTATAATAGATAGCTAGATGTTGTATGAGTGTACATATACATGTGTCTGTGTCTAAACACATCTGTGTGTCACATATAATTATATAAATGAATATACAAACACTAGTTTCCCCGTACTGTCTTTTGATAGAGTCTAGAAACAGTAATACCCCAGTATCAATGAGCACACCTTGTGCCCAGATCTTGTTTATTTTTTCTTTTATTTTGTTTATTTTTAATTGAGATAAAATTTCATACCATAAAACTTATCCTTTTTTTTTTTTTTTTCTCCTTTTTGTCTTTTTTACTGACCGGTAACGGGATAGCAACCCTTGGTGTCGCGCCCGTACTGGGGACCGGCAACGGGATCGCAACCCTCAGTGTTGCGCCCGCACTGCGCTCAGCCAGTGAGCGGGAACCGGTCTCCACATAGGATCTGAACCCTCGGCGGGAGCGCTGCTGCACTCACAAGCTGTGCACTCTCCAGTGCACCACCAGGCCAGCCCAAAACTTATCCTTTTGAAGTATATAATTCAGTATTTTTTTTTATACTCACAAGGTTGCACAGTCATCACCACTCTGTAATTGCAGAATCCTTTTATAATCCCTAAAAAATTCCCATACCTAAATATCCCCAGCTCTGTGGATTTGCCTGTTCTGGACATTTATATAAATGGAATCATACAATATGTGGTGTTTTGTTTCTGGCTTTATTCATCTAGCAGGTTTTCATGGTTTATGCATGTTGTAGAATATAGTACTTTATTCCTTTTTATGGTAGATATTGGTTTTTAAGTACCATTCTCCACTTTAAACAACCAGGACTTCTTAGAGAAATTGCTGATTTCAGAGGTAGGGTAAAGAAAGAACAAGACGAACTTGGAATATATTTTTGGGCCAAAAAAAATCAAGGAAGTACTCACAGAATGATTGAGACATGTCAGAAGGACAGAACCAACTTGAAGGGGCTCCCACTGGCCAATTTCAGCAGCAAAATAAATGAGAGTAGAAGGATTATACTCTGTTGAATAAAGTAAGAATATCTAAGTTCACACTGGAGTGAATCAGTGAATTAATAAGTGAATTAATAGGGGAGAAAGAGAAGCTCTTCCTTGCAATTCAAAAACAACTGAGTGTAGAAGGAATGATGGAATTAGAATATCACCATTTGCCAACCATCACAAAGCTAGTTGATTAAGGCAAGAATTATTAACAAATGCTGAAAACTAGTGGGTGAAAATTTGAAGAATAACAGGATATTTGCAGTCTCAAAGTATATCCTCATAAGATACTTCTTAGTTATGAAGGTTAAAAGAGTGACTTATATTGGAGAAACCTAGCAGACTCTACTTTAACCAAATGAACATAGTTAACACTTCCAGTAATGGGATCATGTGCCTTCTGATAACATACACAGAAAACTACTCAGCATGAAGGCTATTGCATTCCTGCCAAAGGTGAATGACTTGAATCTAACCTTTAGGAAACATGAGACAAACCCAAATTAATGATATTTTACAAAATAACTGGACTGTACTCTTTAAAAATGACAGTGTCATGAAATGCAAGGAAAGACTGAGGCACTTTTTCAGATTTGAAGACATTAAAAGGGACATGACAATACTGTGCAACACATAATTTTGGATTTTCTCTTGCTATTCTAGAGAAATTGGCAAAATCTCAAAATCTGTAGATTAAATAATAATATTGGATCAGTGTCTAATTTCCCTATTTTAAAATTATTTTACTGTGGTTACATAAGAATATTCCTTTTTTTAGGAAGTTTATAGTAAAGTATTTCAGGGTATAAGGTAACATCTACAACTTACTTTTAGTGATTAAGAAGACAAAATATGTGTATATACTTAGAGAGATTGCTAATGCAATTGTAGTAAAATGTTAATGTTTGGGCAGTTGGGTGAAGGGTATCCAGAAATTATTTTTACTCTTTCTGCAACTTTTCTGTAAATGTGAAATTACATTAAAAAATTTAAATTAAATTAAAAATAAATATTAATCCCGGCTCTACCACTTAACCAGCTGTGTCCTTAACGTTAAAATCTCTATGCTTCGCTTTTCCAGTCTGTAAAATGGTGATAGTAAAAGGACCCATGTTATAGTATTGTTGTAAATATTACATTAGTTAATCTGTGCAGTGCTGTTAGAACAGTGCCTGGCACATATTAATGCTGCAGAAAGGTTTGTTGTTATGTGCTACTTTATGCTCTTCTGTCTTTTAAAACTAAAGTTTTTGAAAGAATTATCTGAAAAGAATTTTGCTTTCTTACTTCACACTCACTTCTCAATCGATCACAGTCTGATTTTGACTCCCCAGCACTGCACTAATTCTGCCTTTTCTAAAGTTACTGTCTCCTTCTTATTAAATCCAATGGATCGTTTTCTTTTTATATCTTCCTTGACCTCTTGTTAGATTTGACTTCTATAACCACTTCTTCCCTTTTGAAACATTCTCTCCTTATGTCTTCTGTGATTACACGCTCTCCTGGTTTTTCTTCAAACTCCAGCTATTTCTTCTCCAATGCATTTGCCTTTTTACTATGCCTGTCCCTTGAATGTTGGTTAAAGTTTTGCCAACTAATGTTCTATAATGAATAGGTTTGTAGTTCAGTAGGGAGTATATTATTTCCTTCCTTGAAGATGGGATAATCTGTACTTTGAGTCTCCAGAGGTATCATATTTGTATAGTCAAAGGTGATGGATTTCAAGGATTAGAGCCTACCAGTCAACACCAATTTTGAGAGGAAATGGTGGTCAAAGAATACAAAATAGCAGATAGACACTTAGGATGAACAAGTTTAGAGGAATAAAGTTAATAAAATTGTATTGTTTGGGGGATTTTTCTTAAATAAGTAGATTTTAGCTGCTTGTCACAAAAAAGTAAATATATGAAATGATAGATTAATCTGCTTCACTGTAGGAACCATGGTACTATCTAGATGTATCTATGTATCCATCTGTATCCCATAACATCATGTTGTAAACCTCAAATATACACAATAAAATTTATTTAAAAAAATAAAGAGAAAACAATTTTAAATATCTATGGTGAAAAAGTTTTCTGTCCCTCAGGGTATTATTAAAGCTTTCAGGGCAGTTATACATTTATCTTAAAAGTAAGAATAATAAGACTCACTTAGCATCTGAGTTTATACCACATTTCTCATCAGAGAGTTACTTTTTCTTCATATCTACTTTTATTTTTGATTTTAGTAATCAAAGCCAGTACTTCTCATAAAGACTATTTATGAGAGGTGTAGGGATCCAGAGAGTGAATTTGAAAACCAGATGACTTGAGTTTAAATTTAGTCTCTATCTTTACTAGCTTTGTGAACTCTTAAGCAAGATACTTCTCAACGCTCCAGTTTTCTCATCTGTAAAATGGGGACCACAGTACTAACAACCTTATAGCTCTATTGTGAGGAATAAATGAGTCAGTGCATCTGAAGCATTTAGAACAGTGCTTAGTGTAAACTATTATCAAGGTTATATTTAATGCTTTTGAAGAAGACAAACTTTATGGTAACATATAAATTTTGTAAGCCTTCTTGTAGCCTCTTTTATATTGTAGTTATTATATAATGTAACATATAGAGTGTATCCTTTGCCAGGTACTACTTTAAGCACCTTAAAAATATAAATCATGAGCGTGGCGGTGCTCCCGCCGAGGGTTCGGATCCCATGTGGAGACCGGTTCCCGCTCACTGGCTGAGCGCGGTGCGGACGCAACACCGAGGGTTGCGATCCCGTTGCCGGTCCCCGGTACAGGCGCGACACCGAGGGTTGCGATTCCGTTACCGGTCAGAAAAAAAAAAAGACAAAAAGGAAAAATAAAAAATATATATATAAATCATTAACTTTAATAACAACCCTGTGAGGTAGGTTCTGTTAATATATGCATTTTACATATGAGAAAACTGAGGCACAGGAGGTTACAAAACTTGCCCAAGATAACACAACTATTAGGTCTGCTTTCTTAACCAATACGTTATGCCATATTTTGCTTTCACTCATAATCTATCTTTTAAAATTTTATTTTATTTTGTTTTTAATTGACAGATAATTGTATATATTTTGGGGGTCACCTATCTTTTCTGTATTCAGTTCACATGTCTACTCATTGACCTGGTCAGTATTTTATTATTGTTATTTCTTTTTGCTTCCCCCAAATCATTGAGAAATCTAATGGAGAATTAGACTGATGTGGTCTGTTTGCCCAAGTGTGGAACAGCTGTTCGGTGTTATTTGTCAATGATCTATTGATGGGAGATGAGAGGGTAAACTTTTTTCCTCAAGTCAGCTTAGATGGACATCTAGCATCTCTGGCAGCAAGCATTAAATTTCAGTAGTATCTTTAGTCATTGTAACAACTCCAAATACTCCCACACATATTTAGATACTTCCTATGAAAGTGATATAGCTCCCAATAAGAACCAATTCTTTAACCAATAAATAATGAATGAACACGGGGAAAACTCTAGATGGGGGAAGACAAAGCATTGAGATACATACGTGAGTATATGTATGTATTTACACACATAATAAAATGTATACTGGTAGACTAGGAATGTCCAACAGAAGTGCTAAATGAGATCTCTTAAAAAAGGGGCATAATATAAGGAAAATTCTTATCTAGAAATAAAAATATTGAATAATCTTAGGAAAACAGGGATGGGATGGGATGGAGATCAGTATAAAAATATTTTAAATATGGGAGGAAGAAAATGGAAGGAGGTAAAATTATTAT